TATTTGCCAATTGTGCGCTGGACTGATCATGTAAAAGGGCTCACAGTCTAATTGGGAAACAATAAAAATACATGGTGTACTTATAAGGTTAAATGTACCACTCTGTCCTCATCCCGTACCTTTGAATAGTTTCCTACCTTGGAGTGCCCTTTGCCAGCTTGTCTGCTTGCCACCTACTAATCTATCAAATCTGAGTTCAATTACTACTTTTCTGAATTCTTGGGAAGCAGAGCTGTGCAGTAGAAAGCATGATGTTTGGGTTGATACAGAGCTGGTTTCCGTCTTGGCTGGAGAACCTTGGGTTTCCTGATTGTAACACGGGGATAAAACCCTCGTTGGAGGTTGCTGTGTCAGAGATCACATGTTCAACTGTCAAGCATAGAGCCTGGGCCGTGTTGTGCACTCAGCTGTTATTATATATTGTATGTAACAGTGATCTCAGCTGTGGGGATTTTGGCCCCATGGAGACATTTGGCAGTGTCTGGGACAGTTCTGGTTGTCCCAACTGGCAGGGGAATGCTACTGCTTTCTAGTGGGTAGAGGATCAGAAGGGTGCTAAACCTACACTGTATAGGAAAGCCCCCCCCCCCAACAAAGAATCTGGCCTCAAATGTCAATTATCTTGGTCCAGAAACCCTGATAAGATGAAACATCAAAAAAAAGAAGCATCCAGAAAAAAGTGGTACCAGAAAGGCGCTGTTTTGGTTTCCCTTATCACCCTTGCTATTCCTGGAACACAGGCTGGCTTTTTAAAAAATTATTTTCATTTTACTTGAAAGACAATCATCTTCAGCATATTCACCCTTCAAATGCTTACAGTAACCAAGGCTGGACCAGGCAAAAGCCAGAAGCCCGGAACTCAGCAGTCTCCCATGTGGGTGGCAGGGACCCTAATACTTGAGCTATCTATCATCTGCCTCTTCCTGGGGAGTGTACTACCAGAAAGTTGGCTTGGAAGTGGAATGGCCAGGACACAAACCAGGCACTCAGTATGGATGCAGGCGGGCCCCAAACACCTGACTGTAAAATGTTCTTTAATTGAAATTTTGTAGATAAAATTGTAGATTCACATACATTCTTTTCACATTTGTATAGTCAGCTCTCAGCATTGTGTTTCAGGTTTGTTGAGTCCAGAAGTGTCTGTGCTGGATTTGCAACAAATTTCCAATGAAAGCAATGTAACAGGGGCTGACTGTGGCTTAGTAGGTTAAGCCTCTGCCTATGATGCCAGCATCCCACACAGGCGCTGGTTTGAGTCCTGGCTGCTCCTCTTTCACTCCAGCTCCCTTCTTATGGCCTGGGAAAGCAGAAGATGGCTGAAGTTCTTGGGCCCCTGCACCTGTGTGGGAGACTTGGAAAAAACTCCTGGCTCCTGGCTTTAGATCTGCCCAGCTCCAGCCATTGTGGCCATTTGGGAAGTGAACCAGCAGATGGAAGATATTTCTGTCTCTCCCTCTCTGTAGTGCTACCTCGCAAATAAATATTTTAAAAAAATTAACAGTGTGGGGCTGGCGCTGTGGCATAGTGGCCTAAGGCTCTGCCTGCAGTGCTGGAATCCCATATGGGTGCCAGTTTATGTTCTGGCTGCTCCTCTTCTGATGCAGCTCTCTGCTATGGACTGGGAAAGTAGTAGAAAATGGCCCAAATGCTTGGGCCCCTGCACCTGCAAGGGAGATCTGAAACTCCTGGCTCCTGGCTTCAGATTGGCTCAGCTCTGGCCATTGCAGCCAACTGGGGAGTGAACCAGTGGATGGAAGACCTTTTGTCTCTCCCTCTCTCTGTAACTCTACCTCTCAAATAAATAAATTTAATTTTTTTTTTTTTTTTTTTTTTTTTTTTTTTGCAGGCAGAGTGGACAGTGAGAGAGAGAGAAAGGTCTTCCTTTTCTGTTAGTTCACCCTGCAATGGCTGCTGTGGCCAGCATACCGCGCTGATCCGAAGCCAGGAGCCAGGCGCCTCCGTCTGGTCTCCCATGGGGTGCAGGGCCCAAGGACTTGGACCATCCTCCACTGCACTCCCTGGCCACAGCAGAGAGCTGGACTGGAAGAGGGGCAACCCGGACAGAATCCAGCACCCTGACCGGGACTAGAACCTGGAGTGCCGGCGCCGCAGGCGGAGGATTAGCCTATTGAGCTGCAGTGTCAGCCAATAAAATCTTTTTAAAAAATAACAGTTGTAGATACCACTCCACAAGTATGTGTTGATTATACAGGTTGTAGTATTTTGTCTAGTCCCTAAATACCATGTTTCTGGGAGTAAAATTCTTCCTAGGTTCTCAAAAGGAACCATCCACTCTGTAAAGGAAACCTTGCACCTGGAAGGAAGAGACTGATGGACAGCTGCGGGGAGCTCATGAGCCTGAGCACATGGGTGCTGTGAAGATGGTGGGTGTGGCCCCGCGAAGCTGTGAAGGAGCAAGCAGGGATGGCCAGGGGATGGTTTCCACGATTCTGAGCTTTTATTCTTGGTGCTAGGGGAGTCGGAAGGTTACAGCCTTTTAAAGAGGTCATAGGCTATAGGAACTACTGTGTACCTGAGAACAGTCCTGGGCAGCAGGTTGTTGAACCGTGAGGAAATCCTACAGGTTGACTACTAGTGTTAAGACTGCAGGCTGCTCTGCCTTCTTATCTATGCCTCCACGGCAGTTGGGCAGGTCTCAGTGGTAGATACATTTTCTGCTGGTCAGCAGGCCGGGTAAAGCTGATGATGTATTTTCTGCTGGGTAACTCCTTGGCTAATGGCTACTATTGTGTAACTTTGTATAAAAAAGGGAGCCATCCTTGTGGGCTGCTGCTGCTGGTGCTGTGTTACATGGTCCCTTATTCTGCTGCTTAAATAATGACCCATCTGCCTACAGCTCTGCAAGTGTTCCTTCAGTTCCGGTGCAGACAGCTAAGCAGGGATCCGACATGGTTCTATTACAGTGTTCTATTTTCTTTTAAAGATTTATTTTATTTATTTGAAAGAGTTACAGAGAGAGGTAGAGACAGAGAGAGAGAGGTCTTCCATCCACTGGTTCACTCCCCAGATGGCTGCAATGGCTGGAGCTGCTCCGATCGGAAGGCAGGAGCCAGGAGCTTCTTCCAGGTTTCCCATGTGGGTGCAAGGGCCAAAGACCTGGGCCATCCTCCGCTGCTATCCCAGGCCACAGTGGAGAACTGGCTCAAAGTAGAGCAGCTGGGTCTTGAACCGGCGCCCATATGGGATGCCAGCACTTCAGGCCAGGGCCTTAACCCGCTGCACCACAGTGCCAGCCCTTGTTACAACAGTGTTCTGTAGCTGATGAGACAGGCCAGAGGTGAACCACTGTGCTTAAGGTCACACTGCTATTGAGCAGAGGAGCTATGATTAAAAAAAATTTAAAATGTTTCATTTATTTTCATGCACTTGGAATGCAGAGTGACAGAAACAGAGATCTTCCATTTGCTGGTTCACTTCCCAAATGCCTGCACAACCAGGGCTGGGCAAAACTGAAACCAGGAATCCGGATCCTCATCTGGGTCTCCCATGTGGGTGGCAGGGGCCCCAACCATTTGAGCCATCACTTGCTGCCTCCCGGAATGCATTGGCAGGAAGCTGGATGGGAAGCAGAGGCGCCCAGGACTTGAACCAGTAATCCAATATGGAATTTAGGCATTGCAAGTGGTGGCTTCACCTGCTGTTGTGACACATGGCTACTCTGTGTGTTCTTTCTAACCAAGGGAGCCTGATGCCAGAGCTGGCAGGCACCAGGTGTCTTGGGAGTGAGCAGCATGTGTAGCCGAGGCCCCTGCCTCCACTCAGGCTGGATACAGCCTCACACATCTGACAAGCTCCAGGTGGGTGGGAGTCTTCCTGCACTTTCTCCTGCCTTCAGCGCTCCGCAGACAGAAATCTGCCAGCAGCCCAGACCCCGCTGAGCCGATGTGGGTTTCCCAGATTTGAGGAAGGCCTCCTCTCTCCTTTCCTGCACGTGGAGGTGGGCAGGCACTCCAGAACTGGCCCGCTGGGCCCGCTGCGGATTTCGGGATTTCGTTCGGAACGTGCCTGGGAGAGGCTTAGCAGGATCAGAGGCTCCTCAGGTGCGATTGCCATGGCAACCCAGCCGCATCGTCGGCTCGGAGGGGGCTGCAGACATCTCCCTTCTCTAACGAACTACCCCATCCCCATCGTGTGTGAACACAAAGGAATCCGTTGTTTGCCTCCTGACATCTCAATGGAAGTTTAACCTCCAGTTCTGCCAGGTGCTTTCAGCCATTGTATCAGTGAATATGCAATAGGAACCTCTTTTATTGACGCGGGGGTGGGAGCAGACGGCTAGATAATCAGCTCAAAGTCAGTGTCAGAACTTGAACTCGGGTTCAATACCATCCGTTGCTCATCAAGCCCACTGCTTATCAACTGAGGAGTGCCCAGCTGCTGCTGTCGCAGTGGTAATTGGGCTACTGGTGTAGTGTGCCTGTAAAAGGGTCACGGACGTCTGCGAGGCAGGTGCGGGATGCTATTTGCTCCACTGGATAGGAGTGGGGACATACGAGGTAGGCAGCGAAGGAGCAGAGTGCGGGAGTCCGGAGCTCGCGTCGGCGTCGGAAGAGAACACCTATCGGGAGCCCCTCTTTCAATTCAGGAACGGGAAGTGGCCGGTGTTGGAGAGCTAGGTTGAGCAGAAACACTAAGTCAGATACCAAAGTCTAAACCTTTGCTGAAGCCGCGAAAATGCAAGTGCTCCGAAACGCGGGAGGACGCAGGACCCAGGGAATGGGGGCGCTTTCCCTTGAAAACTACGCTTACTAAACCTCTGCCAAAGCATACACCTGCTCGTATAATTAGCAGGACCTGTGACTTTAAGAAGCGCGGCGCTTCAGCGTCACGTGATCGCCGGCGCCCCGGGTCTTTACTGCACGTTGCTACTGGCCAATCACCTGGCGGGAGGCCTCCTGGAGGGCGGGAACTTCGCAAGGGTCCGCTGATTGGCTGTGCTCGTGGAGGGCGGGGCCTAGGTGCCCAGAGAGGGAATTAGTGTGAGCTGGGTGAGTGGAAGCTGCTGCCGGCACCTCCGCCGCGGCCGTGTCAGTAGCCGCCTTCGCCACGCCGGAGCCCTCAGGTGAGCAGGCCCTGCCCGAGTCCAGGACTCCCCGTCCCGCCGCAGGCCGCTCACTCCCCGGCCTGGAAGCCCGCTCCGCCGGGGGCCCGCCCCCTTCGCTGCCCACGTGACCCAAGTTCGGTGACCCCTGACCTCCCCGCCCCGCCCGGTCTGGGTCCGGGATGCGCGAGGCTGGGTGGGAGGATGCGCGGCGCCGAGGCGGGTGGCGGGCGGTTCCCACGCCTCCTCCCCGCTGTGACTAGCGTCTGAGGAGCCCGGACTTTGGTCTCTGTGTGGGCCCGTAATAGGGCGGCTACGTCTGCGCCCTCCGCGAGTCTGTGCTCCCATTTTACAGATGGGGGGCACGGAGTGTGCAGGGTCACCGGGCGGTGGGTCCGCACTCGGCCGTCCGCTGCAGCAGCGTGCGGTGGAGCCTGACGGTCAGTAGCGCGGGTTCTCGTCTCTGCGCTCTGCGTCGTGGAAGAGCCTAGACAGGACAGGAAACGTGCAACCCCTCCGAGCTTTGAGTTCCTTGGCCGTGACACCGACGAAGTACGTGTGTGTCTGGCTGCACTGCTCCCAGCACAGTGCCGCGGGCGTAGCGGGCGCTTACGTAGCTTCCTTCGTTTTTCAGCGAGTGTTTGTTGAGGGTGTATTATGTGCTGAGCCTGCGCTGGACGCTGAGGATGCAAAGGTGAGCGTACAGGCACTGCCCTTGCGGTGTGGAGCTTGTGGTCTAGTGGGGAGGGGCGTGTTAATCCAAACGCTACGCAAGTATGTCATCCCCGACTCTTCTTTCTTGAGATTTATTTCTTTACTTGAAAGGCGGAGTTACAGGCAGGCAGAGGCAGAGAGAGAGAGAGGTCTTCCATCCACTGGTTCACTGCCCGATTGGCCACAATGGCCAGATCTGCACTGATCCGAAGCCAGGAGCTTCTTCCAGGTCTCCCACATGGGTGCAGGGGCCCAAGCACTTGGGCCATCTTCTACTGCTTTCCCAGGCCATACCAGAGAGCCAGATCGGAAATAGAGCAGCCCGGACTCTAACTGGCGCCCATATGGGATGCCAGCACTGCAGGTGGCAGCGGCGGCTTTACTCGCTAGGCCACAGCGCCGTCCCCCATTCCCAGCTCTTGTAACTGCTGTAAAGGCAGAGTGCAGGGTTGTGGGAAGACCTCCCAAGCAAGTGACATCTGAGCTGAGGTGTGGAGGAGTGCGCAGGTGCGTAGGTGGAGGGATTGGGAGTGGAGGGCAGGGAGGAGGGAGACAGTTCCTGGCAGAAGAAAGGTTCTGGAGTAGGGTGTCTTTGAAGAAATGAGAAGAGGCTGGTGCTGGGAACGCAGAACACAGGAGAGTGGAAGAGGTGCTGGCAAAGTGGGCAGCACATGCGAGCCTGGGAACCACGGTGCAGAGTTGGCTTTCATTGTGAAGGCAGTGGGGGCCGTTGCAGGACGTCAGGAGAGGCCGTGTGGACTTAGGGACCCTGGTGGAGGAATAATGTGACAGTGCCAGGAACTGCACAGGTGCTGCTGCCTCACCTTGGCAGCTTCTCATTCTGTGTGTTGTCGGAGGCAGCGATCGGCTCTGTTTGTGCTGGGTTCTTATTCTGCCTTATCCGGTGAATGGAAGAACAGGTTCCGGGACGGGTGTTATGGCACAGTGGGTTAGGCCACTGCTTGGACGCCTGCATGCCATAGCTGATATCAGAGTGCCCAGAATGGAGTCCGACCTTCACTTCCAATGTGGCTTCCTGCTGATGCACCCTGGGAGGCCGCACCTGATGGCTGAAGAACGTGGGAGACCCAGAAGGAGTTCCTGGATCCTGGCTTTGGCCTGTTGTGGGCATTTGGGGAGGAAACTAGTGATGGAGGGTCAATCTCTCCCACCCCTCTAGTCATTCTGCTTTTCGAGTAAATAAAAATAAATGTAGGGGCCGGCCCCGCGACTCACTAGGCTAATCCTCCACCTTGCGGCGCCAGCACACCGGGTTCTAGTCCTGGTCGGGGCGCCGGATTCTGTCCCGGTTGCCCCTCTTCCAGGCCAGCTCTCTGCTGTGGCCCGGGAGTGCAGTGGAGGATGGCCCAAGTGCTTGGGCCCTGCACCCCCTGGAAGACCAGGAGAAGCACCTGGCTCCTCCCATCGGATCAGTGCAGTGCGCCGGCCACGGTGGCCATTGGAGGGTGAACCAACGGCAAAAGGAAGACCTTTCTCTCTCTCTTTCTCTCTCTCTCACTGTCCACTCTGCCTGTCAAAAATAAATAAATAAATAAATAAATAAATGTAGGAAGAATTGGTTCCTGTATTTAGGCTTTGTAGCCAAACTGGGGAAGACCAGACTCCTGGACTAAAAGCCTGCGAGTCCCAGATGGCACATGACACCGAAGACCTGAGAGACTGGTCAGCCTCAGCCTAGCGGGGAGATGGGGATTTGGAGCAGGGAGAGGGCAGCCTGAGCAGATCCTGGGCTGGGACTTAGGCGAGGGTGGGAGGGGAGGTGTTTGAATGGCCCTGGGAATTTGGGACCAAGGGCACAGTCATGCTGGGACATGCAGACTTTTTGGAAGCAGTGGGGAAGTATTGAGGGATTTTAGCAATGGAGTATCAGGTCAGAGGGAGGTTTTCTTTCTTTTTTTTAAATTGAGTGGATGATGGCAGTTGTAAGAATCAGGAAATCAGGAAGAGGATGGGAGATTTGGTTTATCATTAACACCAGTGACATCTTCCACTGGTGTGGAGCTTTGGGCCCTGACTCTCATTTTATCCTCAGAGCAGCCCTAGGGATTCTTGTCCCTGTTTTACAGTTTAGGACACCAGCGCTCGGGCTGAGGAAGGTCTGGCCAGATTGACATGGCGCATGGCGGGGCAGGGACCCAGCTCCCTGGACCCCGAGGCCGGGCACTTCGGGCTTCCCCATTGTCTCCCGTCGGCCAGCCTGTTTCCTGTCTGAGCCTCAGCTTGCTCCTCTGGGCGCTCAGAGCTCCGTGATCGGGGACTGGGGCTTGGAGGGCCTTGACTCACAGGCCTGGGCTCTGTGGGAGACTCGGCAGCTTTCCAACCCTTCCCTCTCCACTGCTAGCTCCACTGGGGCCATGTCGGAGCGAGAAGAGCGGCGGTTTGTGGAGATCCCTCGGGAGTCGGTCCGGCTCATGGCAGAGAGCACCGGCCTGGAGCTGAGCGACGAGGTGGCGGCCCTGCTTGCAGAGGATGTGTGCTACCGGCTCCGGGAAGCAACACAGGTGGGCTCCCCTTGCCCCGGGGACCTCTCAGCCCTCCACATTTGTCCCTTGTCCTCACTTCCTCCCTCACTGGTTTATTCAACAAGTGCATACTGTGCGCAGACTGCTGTGAGGGCATATAGCAGAGGCAGCCCACGCCGTTTTCAAAGCCCCCCAGCAGCCCCCCGGCAGGCTGAGTGCATTTTCATCTGCACGTGAAAACTGAGGCCCTGGGTGCAGCTGGTTAAGCTGCATCCCATATAGGAGACCTGGTTCAGTCCCTGCTGCGCCATTCTTCCAGGCCAACTTCCTGCCGACGGGCCTGGGAAGGCAGCTGCTGATGGCCCAAGTGCTTGAGTCTGTGTGGGAGACCCAGCTGGAGTTCTGGGCTCCTGACTTTGGCCTGATCCAGCCCTGGCTGTTGGGGGGCATTTGGGGAGTGACCCAGTGGATGGAGGATCTCTTTCTCTCTCTCTGCCTTACAAAAAAGAAAAAAATAAACCCTGGGGCCGGCGTTGCAGTGCAGTGGGTTAAGTCACTGCCAGTGACACGGGCATCCCTTAACAGAGCGCCTGTTCAAGTCCCAGCTGCTCTGCTTCCAGTCCATCTCCCACGAGTGCACCTGGGAAGCAGGGGAAGATGGCCCCAGTGCTTTGGGCCCCTGCCACCCACATGGGAGACCTCGATGGAGTTACAGGCTCCCAGCTTTGGTCAAGTCCAGCCCTGGCCATTTTGGCCGTTTGGGGATTGAACTGGGAAATGGAAGATCTCTGTGTCCCTCCTGTCATTCTGCCTTTCAGATAAGGCACAGAGGGGATGGAACACATAGTGGGTGGGGCTGCTTGTACAAGAGCAGAGCTGATGGAGTGGGCATTTGGTGCTGCAGCCGGGACACCTGCGTCCCCTATCGGAGTGCCTGCTGACAAATCGAAAAAGGCAGAGAGCTGGAAGCCAGGCTTTTCTCTGGTGTGGTGTCCTCTTTGCCTCCTCCCCGGTCCAGCCTACTATATTTGGGGGTTGCCATCTCCCCATCTCCCTGTCACCTGACTCTGGTTTCTGCTCCTCCCCTCCCAGAACAGCTCTCAGTTCATGAAGCACACCAAGCGGCGGAAGCTGACGGTTGAGGACTTCAACAGGGCCCTCAGGTGGAGCAGCGTGGAGGTGAGTGGGCCCAGAGACGCCCTCTGTCCTCTGTGCCCAGCTCTGAGCTGCTGACGTGGTACTGCATGAAGACTCCCTGCACATAGGGGAGGCCCACAGCAGTGGCAGGCCAGGTGCTTGGTGCAGGGCCCAGCCCACTTGGGCTCAAAGTGTAGAGCAGAGGGCGAGGAGGCCACGAGGGCCCGGTGGTCAGGGAAGAGGTGGGACGAGCTGGGCCTGAGATGAGGATGATGAAGAACTTGAGCTTGGCTCAGACAAGGCTAAGAGGAGAAGAGAGCATGCTGAGCCAGCGTGGGTATTTGCAGGTCCTGGGGTAGTTGTTCTGAGGCAGGGAGTTGAGGAAGGTATCGTGTTTAGAGAGTGTAGTGGGTTTTCAGAGCTGAGTTTGCACGAGGGAGACCGGTAGCCTATGGGTGGGGCTTAGAACCCTCTGGTCATGTGAGAGGGGACCTTGTTCTGCTCTGGGACCCAGCCAGCCATGGGCACTCCAACCAGACTCCCAGTGATGGCTCTGCTTCCCTGGGGACCCCTGGACTTCCTGGAAGCAGGCTCCTGGCCCTGGTGGGTGATGGTCCTCCCTGCGTTCAGCCTGCTCTCTATTCCCCTCTTCAGGCTGTCTGTGGTTATGGCTCCCAGGAGGCCTTGCCTCTGCGCCCAGCCAGGGAGGGTGAGCTCTACTTTCCTGAGGATCGAGAGGTGAACCTGGTGGAGCTGGCTTTGGCCACCAACATCCCCAAAGGCTGTGCTGAGACAGCTGTCAGAGGTGGCTGCCGGGTTCCTGCATGGGGTGGGGACGGAAGCTGGGTGGTCAGGGTGGTCAGGGTGGTGGTGGGCTGGCTGGAGGATGGGGCATTAGTTGGAGGGGTAGGTGGTATCGTAAGGGACAAAAGCCCAGCCTGACACATCTGTTCACTGGTTCTAGTTCATGTCTCCTACCTGGATGGCAAAGGGAACCTGGCCCCCCAGGGATCAGGTAAGGGATGGTGTGTTGGATGGGCCCTCTGGCTGCATTTTCCTCCCTAGGTGCTCAGGGCAGTACCTCTAGGCCTTGGAGTGCACTTCAGGCGAGTGTTTGCTGTTCACGCCTTGAACCGTGTTCTGAGCAGGTGCTGATTTCTTCCCAGAGGTACTCAGAGTTGGAGGTGGGAGCCCAGACCTGTCACCAGTTCTGACCCAGCGGGATGCTGGGAGCTGCCTTGCTTTTGGCACATACTGAGCACAGCTTCAGGGCCTGAGGCTTTTGGCCTTGAGCAGGAAACTCACAGAGGGTGGGTGGCAGACAGCACAGAGGAGTGGCCAGGTAGCTCTGGTTGTCTTGTCGGATTCATTGGGCTTCTGAGGATGTGTATGGGGTGGTGGTGGTGGGGGGGGCTCTGGAGGCCAGAAGAGGCCTGCGGTCCACCCCGATCACTTTCTGCCTGTCCTCCCACAGTGCCTAGCGCCGTGTCATCGCTGACTGATGACCTGCTCAAGTACTATCAGCAGGTGACTCGGGCTGTGCTAGGGGATGATCCCCAGCTGATGAAGGTGAGAGCCTGGGTCCGAGTTGGCGACACAGTTGAGCTTTTCATGAAGTTCCCTCGTGTTCCTGTTCCCTGTCCTCTTCAGACTGACGTGGGTGGAGGCTGCTCTCTGGGTGCGTCTGTGCTGAGCTGGCCTTCCTGCCCATCTGCCCCTCACTCTCTAGGAGGAACTCTGTCCCCTTGGCAGTAGGCAGCTCAGCAGGGCATTTGGGAGGGCTCGCGTGGTCTGCACATACCCTCCTGCTGGAGCCCACCCTCTGTGGGTATTTGTTGATCTGGGGCCAAGTGGAGCACCCAGCTTGCAACATTCACTTTCCTGAACTTTGGGAGGGAGAGGAGAGGAAATAGCAGAGCCAGGTAAGGTGCCTGGCCAGGCTGGCTCTTTGGCTGCTGGTTCCTGGGCCTCTTTCCAGCCCTTGCTGCTTTGCCCTCTGGACTTCATGGGGCCTGCCGGACACCATTCATGGTCAGTCCTCTTCTGTCCAGAGTCAGAGGAAGGCTCATTGGTGGTTTGCTCCATCATGTGCCTCTTTCTAAGGGTGTTATATCCTCCATGTCTTCCCATGTCGGGCTACTGCTGTAGTTTCCCTTGAAAGTTGGGACCATCCATTCCTGTTCAGAACTTCGCCCTGGTGCCCAGCACAGTGTAGGTGGCTGGTTGTGGGGCTGGGACCTGGGCTCCTTCCTCACTCACCTGTGTTCTGCATGGCTGCCAGGCTCACCATCTTTATCCACAGGCAGTGGAGGTTCAGGGCTGTGATACCTTTAATAAAATATCCTGCCGGTGCCGCAGCTCACTAGGCTAATCCTCCGCCTTGCGGCGCCGGCACACTGGGTTCTAGTCCCAGTCGGGGCGCCGGATTCTGTCCCGGTTGCCCCTCTTCCAGGCCAGCTCTCTGCTGTGGCCAGGGAGTGCAGTGGAGGATGGCCCAAGTGCTTGGGCCCTGCACCCCATGGGAGACCAGGAGAAGTACTTGGCTCCTGCCATTGGATCAGTGCAGTGCGCCGGCCATGGCGGCCATTGGAGGGTGAACCAACGGCAAAAGGAAGACCTTTCTCTCTGTCTCTCTCTCACTGTCCACTCTGCCTGTCAAAAATAAATAAATAAAATAAAATAAAAAATTAAAAAATTTCCTGCTTACGAAAGTTACACCAGTGTATGTTTATTGGAGAAGTTGAGATGACATGAAAACATCCAGAATACAAAGTCTCCTATTCTTCCACCCACACTTTCTCCTATGTATAAGCTATGATTACTCTCCTGTAAACGCAGGTGGTAGTGTCTGTATGTATGTGTATGTATGTCTTACACCTTGCTTTTCTCAGGCATATGGTGACATGGAGGTTGTTTGCAGTTTTTTATTACTACAGCCAGGGCTGTGGGGGAGGTGTGTGAGTAGGCTTCCGTAGGTTACACTGATGGAAGTGGAATTGCTGGACAAGGAGGAGCACATGTAAGATTGTAACAGGTGGTCCAGTGCCACCTCGGTTTAGGTCTGGGGAGGCAAATGCAGTGCAGTCCGGGTCATTGATTCCTTTCAGGTGGCTCTCCAGGACTTGCAGACGAACTCCAAGATTGCAGCGCTCCTGCCTTACTTTGTTTATGTGGTCAGTGGGGTAAGTGAGCAGGGTCCAGGGAGGACGTTTGTGGATAACCCAGCAGCACAGAGGGCTCACGGCAGTTGCTGTCACAATGGCAGGCCCATGCCTGCCCCCTCAGTGTCCTCTTAAGCCATCCTCTTCTACCAACAGGTGAAATCTGTCAGCCATGACCTGGAGCAGCTGCACCGGCTGCTGCAGGTGGCACGGAGCCTGGTCCGGAACCCACACCTCTGCCTGGGGCCCTATGTCCGCTCCCTGGTGGGCAGCGTCCTCTACTGCGTCCTGGAGCCTCTGGCTGCCTCCATCAACCCCCTGAATGACCACTGGACTCTGCGGGACGGGGCTGCTCTCCTGCTCAGCCACATCTTCTGGTAGCCACTGGGCCTGGAGCTGCACAGAGGATGGGCTTGCTGTGGAGTTGCTCGGGAGAGGGAAGGGGATGGGGTGAAATCTCTGGGGAACTCCTCCCCTTCAGGCTTCCTGGTTGGTGTGCCCTGGCACACTGGTATTCTACCAGTGGATTAAAAACACGCCAAGGTGTTGCTCCTTAAGCCCTCAAGTCCCAGCCAGTCACCTTGGTAGCTTTGCTCGCTTACCCAGCATGCCCCAGCACACTGACACGTGCTGTTCTGTCGGCTGTGCCTCCGTCCCCTCCCTGACTGTGTGTTGCTCCCACAGGACTCATGGGGACCTTGTAAGTGGCCTCTATCAGCAGATCCTGCTCTCCCTGCAGAAGGTTCTGGCAGACCCCGTGCGGCCTTTGTGTTCTCACTATGGGGCCGTGGTGGGGCTGCATGCTCTTGGCTGGAAGGTGAGGATGCTGGCCTTTCTCACACAGGTGTGAGAACTTCATTTAGAAAGATAGCACGAGTATTTGTGTGTCTGTATCATCCAGATGGTACATGATTGCTGGTGCCACGTACTGAGTTCTGCTGCTTTCCCAGGCCATAGCAGAAGCTGGATCGGAAGTGGAGCAGCTGGGACTCCAACTGGTGCCCATATGGGATGCCGGCACTGCAGGCCGGGGCTTTAACCTGCTGCACCACAGTGCTGGTCCCTGCTCCACTTCTGATCCAGCTCTCTGCTGTGGCCTGGGAAAACAGTGGAATATGACCCAGGTGCTTGGATCCCTGCACCGTCATGGGAGACCTGGAAGAATCTCCTGGCTCCTGGCTTCAGACAGGCCCAGCTCCAGCTGTTGCAGCCATCTGGGGAATGAACCACCGGATGGAAGACCTTTCTCTGTGTCCCTCTTTCTGTAGCTCTGATTCTCAAATAAATAAATTTTTTTTTTTAAATTAAGATTTATTTATCTGAAAGACAGAGTTACAGAGAAGCAGAGGAAGAGAGATCTTCCGTCCTCTGGTTCACTCCCCATATGGCTGCAACAGCCAGAGCTGTCTAGATCTGAAGCCAGGAGCTTCTTCTGGGTCTCCCGTGTCCTTGGGCCATCTTCTACTGCTTTCTCAGGCCATAGAAGAGAGCTGGATCAGAAGTGAAACAGCCACTTGAACTGGTGTCCATATGGGATGCTGGCACTGCAGGCCGGGGCTTTAACCTGCTATGCCACATCGCCAGCCCTTATCCATTTACTTATTTGATAGAGAGGGGCCAGTGTTGTGGTATAGCAGATTAAGCTGCCACCTGTGATGCTGGCATCCCATATGGGTGCCAGTTTGGGTCCCAGCTAACGTGCCTGGGAAAAGCAGCAGCAGATGGCTCAACTGTTTGGATCCCTGCTATCCACATGGGCAATCCAGATGGAGTTCCAGGCTCCTGGCTTCAGCCTGGCCCAGCCCTGGCCCTTGTGGTCATTTGTAGGGTGAACCAGCAGATGAAGGTCTCATGATTGCTCTCTGACTGTGCCTTTCGAATAAATAAATCTTTTTTAAAAAATGGGGGCTGGGGCCGGCATTGTGGTGTAGTGGGTAAATCCACCACCTGCAGTGCTGGGATTCCATATGGGCTCCGATTGGAGTCCCAGCTGCTTCACTTCCAACCCAGCTCCCTGCAGATGTCCCTGGGAAAGCAGCAGACGAGGTCCAGGGTACCTGGGTCCCTGCCACCTACATGGGAGACTCGGAAGAAGCTTCTGGCTTTGGCCTGGCCCAGCACTGGCAGCAACCTGGGGAGTGAGCCAGCAGATGGAAGATCTCTGTCTCTCCCGCTCGCCTCTGTGGCTCTTTCCAAAATAAATAAATGTCTTTTTTTTTTTTTTTTTTTTAATGGGGCCCAGTGTTATGGCATAATGGGTAGATCTGATGCCTATAATGCCATTATGGGTGCCAGTTCAGTCCGCTGCTCCACTTCCAACCAGCTCCCTGCTAATGGCCTGAGAAAAGCGGCAGAAGACAGGCCAAGTGTTTGGCCTCTTGCCACCATGGAGGAGACTAGATGAAGCTCCTGGCTTTGGCCTGGCCCAGTCCTGGCCTTTGTGATCATCTGGGGAATGAACTAGTGCATGGAAGGTTCTGTCTCCCTCTTCCTAACTCTGAACTTTGGAATAAAGAAAGAAATCTTTAAAAAAAAAATAGTACAATTGATTTATTTAATTTTTTTAAGAGAAAAAGGGAACTCTGATCTGGTTCATTCCTTGGATGTCAGGATTGGGCCGGGCCAAAGCCAGGATCCAAGAACTCAATACAAGCCTCCAGTGTGGTGGCAGGGACCTAAGTGAGTGAGCCCTAAGTTCAGCCTCCCAGGGTGCACGTTACCAGGGAGCTGGAGTCAGGGGTCAGGGATGATTCTTGAACTCAGGCATTCCAATTTGGGATGCAAGCATCCGAAGCCGTGTCTGAACTACTCCAGCAAATGCCCACTCCTGTATGTCCATTTTATAAATTCCTACCATTACAGCCACTTGGGGAGTGAACCAGCAGATGGAAGACCTCTCTCTGTAATTGTCTTTTCAACAAATCAAATTAATCTTAATTTTTATTTGGTTTATTTGAAAGGTGGAGTCAGAAAGAGAGCTGCTATCTGCTAGTTCACTACCCAAATGCCCACACCGCGTGGAGTCTGCATTAATAGAAGCTGGAATTGGGAGCAGAGCTAGGAGTCAAACACACTGGTGTGAATGCAGCTGTTCCAAGCAGCATTGTAGCCACTGTGCCAATCAGCACTCTTACATTTCTTTTAAAATTTGAGAGGCAGAGAGATGCAATAAGATAAACACACAGACCTTCCCTCCACTTGCTGGTTCTCTCCCCAAATGCCCACAACAGCAGGACTGGGCCGGGTGAAGCCGGGACTGATACCTAGATCTTCCCACGTGGATGGCAGGAATGCTGTCACTCGAGCCATCACTTCTGTCTCCCAAGGTCTGCACCAGGAAGAAACGAGTTGGGAGGCAAAGCCCAGCCCGAAGCTGAGGCGCTCTGATGAGACACAGGCATATTAGCTGCTAGGCCAAACACTGTCCCCACCTTTACATCTCTAAGAAAAAGTCAACCGACCAGCCCTCACGGGAGTGGCCACCGCATCCCATAGCTGAGTGCCCAGTGTGACTCCTGGCTTTTCCACTTCTGATCCAGCTTCTTGCTAATGTGGGAAGGCAGCAGAAGATGGCCTAACTGCTTGGGCCACTGACACCCAGTGGGAGACCTGGATGGAGTTCCTGGCTCCTGGCTTCTGCCAGGACTAGCCCTAGCTGCTGCAGGCATTTGGGGAATGAACCAGTAGACAGGATAAAAGATCTCTGTCACTATGTAAGCCTGTAACAAAAATTCAAAACGTTTATTAGGCTATAATATATTAAAAAAAATTATTTCTTTGAAAGAGTTACACAGAGAGAAGGAAAGGCAGAGAGAGAGAGAGAGGTCTTCCATCTGCTAGTTCACTCCCCAATTGGCTACAATGGTTGGAGCTGCACTGATCCAAAGCCAGGATCCAGGAGCCTCCTCCAGGTCTCCGAAGTGGGTACAGGGGCCCAAGGACTTGGGCCATCCTCTACCATTTCACCTGACGCTTGCAGAGAACTGGATTGGAAGTGGAGCAGCCAGGACCCAAACCAGCGCTGATATGGGATGCTGGCACAGCAGGTGGTGGCTTTGCCCACTATACCACAGTGCTGGCCCTCTAATAAATTCTTCAAGAAAACTTATTTGAAAGGCAGAGTGACAGGGAGAGACAGATCTTTGATTTGCTGTATGGGATGCTGTCATTCTAAGCAATGGTTTAACCTGCTGTACCACAATGCCCACCCCTACAATTCATCTTTTAAAAAGATTTATTCAATGGGCAGAGTGACAGGAAGAGGAGAGACAGAGAAAGGCATCTTCCATCTACGGGTTCACTCTTCAAATGGCCCCAGGGGTGGGGTGGGGAGGGTTAGGCCCACAGAAGCCAGGAGCCAGGAACTCCATCTGGGTCTCCCTGATGAGTGGCAGGGGCCCTCACCTGCTACTTCCCAAGATGCATTAGCAGGATGCTGGATGGGGAGCAGAGGAACTGGCAGTAGTCCACCAGCGTCTGGAAGCAGAGGAACTAGTCCAGTGTGGGATGCTGGTGTCCCAGTGGCGGCTCAACCCACTGCGTGACAACACCCCCTCCCACACACACACCCTGTTTACTTTTGAGGGATGTTCTTGCTTACTGATTGATCTGAGTAGCAGTTTGCAAACTATGGATTTGTGGTGTTAGCAGTGGGTATACTTATGTGTTCTTAGCCCTTGGCACACAAGGCAATGATAGTGGGGTCCTTTTATATTGTCTTTATATCATATCTCTACCTCCAGTGCTTAGTCTTAGGAAAAGTAGGTTCCAAAAAAATGGCTGCACATACCAATAAAGGAATCTAGTAGGACGGCTGCGCCCTGTCTAGATCAGAGGTTAAAGCAGGCCTTTCAATGGGAAAGGGTACTTGAGAGGCAGTAAGCCACGGAGAGGTGCTTACTGCATTCCTCCTTCCCCTTCCAGGCAGTGGAGCGAGTGCTGTACCCACACCTGTCCACTTATTGGACAAACCTGCAGGCTGTGCTGGACGATTATTCGGTGTCCAACGCTCAGGTCAAAGCAGATGGGCACAAAGTCTACGGAGCCATTCTGGTGAGTGCCAGGCTGTCCCAGCTGCCTTCCCTGCAAAGCCCAGCGGACTCGCTTCGGAGTACGTGATGGGGCCCAGGCGGCCTAGTTCTTGTCTTAGTCCCCTGCTCTTTCAGGTGGCTGTAGAGCGGCTGCTGAAGATGAAGGCCCAGGCGGCGGAGCCCAGCAGGGGCGGCTCCGGCGGCAGGGGCGGCCCCGGCGGCAGGGGCGGCCCCGGCGGCAGGGGCGGCCGGCGCCCGGACGACCTGCCCTGGGACAGCCTGCTCCTGCAGGGCTCTCCCTCCGGCGCTGGTGCGGAGCCAGGCTTCGGGTCTGGCCTCTCGCTGCCGCCAGGGGGCGCGGGGCCGGACGACCCTTCTCCTTCCGTGACCCTGGCCGACATCTACCGGGAGCTCTACGCCTTCTTCGGTGACAGCTTGGCCACTCGCTTCGGCACCGGCCAGCCCGCGCCCACGGCCCCGCGGCCGCCCGGGGACAAGAAGGAGCCAGCGGCCGCCCCGGACTCTGTGCGGAAGATGCCGCAGCTGACCGCCAGCGCGGTGGTTAGCCCCCAGGGCGACGAGAGCCCCCGGGGCGGCGGAGGCGGCGCTCCGTCGGCCCCGGCGCCCGCCGCCTCCGAGAACAGGCCGCTGCCGCGCGTGCACCGGGCGCGAGGGGCGCCCCGGCAGCAGGGCCCCGGCGCGGGCACCCGCGACGTCTTCCAGAAGAGCCGTTTCGCCCCGCGCGGCGCCCCGCACTTTCGGTTCATCATCGCCGGGCGGCAGGCCGGGAGGCGCTGCCGGGGGCGCCTCTTCCAGACTGCCTTCCCCGCGCCGTACGGGCCCAGCCCGGCCTCTCGCTACGTGCAGAAGCTGCCCATGATCGGCCGCACCGGCCGGCCGGCCCGCCGCTGGGCGCTGTCGGACTACTCGCTGTACCTGCCCCTCTGAGGGGAGCCGCCCCCGATCGGGTGAATAAAGCCCGCGCCCGGAAGTGACGTCTCCGCGCTCGTGGGTCGCGCCGGATGGGGCGGGGCTTGGGCGGTTGGTTCCCGCGGCGGCGCTCGCTGGTGGCTGGGGCGCCATGGCGCTGCGGTGTCTGCAGCGCGTCGAGCTCGCGCTCTTCGCTGCCGCCTTCCTGTGCGGGGCGGTGGCGGCCGCGGCGCTAACCCGGACCCAGGTGCGGTTGCGGGATGGGACCCGCGTTGGCGTTGGGACGGGAAGGCTCGGGGGCTTGGCGGCCCGGTGCGCGCTGGCCTGCGACGTCCGCCGGCTGGGTCCTGCCTCGGAGTCGCTCCCTGAACCGCGGGAGCGCATTACTGGACCGGATGGGGCCTAGTGGCTCCCGCTGCGCCACTCTGCTCAGGCCCCGCGCGAGCTGTTTGTGTTGTGTGGGCTCTGCCGAGAAGTAAAGCGTAGTGTAGCGGAGATGAAGAAACAGCCACGATTGCATCACTGTGACGAAGTGGGGATGTGGAACGGAGGCAGCAGCAGAAGCGAGCGATAACACGGGCGAACTTAACCCCTAGAAGGTGGGCACCAGTGTGCCTGTTTACTGACCAGAGACAGCACCGGAGATGGGTGCACTAGGATTCCTTCACAGAAGGGAAACCGGGATCTGCAGCCCATAGTGCTCCGCAGGCACCGCCCGTTTCCCGATCCTGTTGGCCAGCCAGGGCAGGCAGGGCTCCTCAGCCTCCCCGCCCCAGGAACAGGAACCCACACAGCACAGGTGACTTCCTCGAGGGGCCCTGGCCTAACCTCACCCTAAGCAGCTTCTCTCCGCAGGGCTCCTTCAGTGGCAGGTGTCCCCTGTACGGTGTGGCCGCCCTGAATGGCTCCTCCCTGGCCCTAGCCCGCCCCTCAGCCCCATCCCTCTGCTACTTTGTGGCTGGGGCCTCGGGCCTCCTGGCTCTCTACTGCCTCCTGCTCCTGCTCTTCTGGGTCTACAGCAGCTGCATCGAGGACTCCAGCAGGTGACTGTCCCACCTTGAGGGCCAGGGGCTACGGTGGGGGCGAGTTCCTGCTCACTACAAGCCTGTTCTCTCCCGGATAGGGGTCCTCTAGGGCTCCGCGTTGCACTGGCCGTCTCAGCTGTTGCCGTCTTCCTCATCTTAGTGTCTGCCTGTGTCCTTCGCTTTGGCACCAACTCTCTCTGCAACTCCATCAGCTCCCTGAACAAAACAATTAGGTAACGGGCAAGGGCGGGATGTCTGGCCGGGGCTACCTTCCCTCATCAGTCGCTAATCCTAGGGCACCTGGGCACAGCTGTGCTTAGCGTTCATCCTTTTCTCACAGCTGCTCTGGAGCCCAGAAAATCCCGTGGACACCCCCTGGAACCGCTCTGCAGTTTTACTCCAACCTACACAACGCTGAAGTGAGACTCACGGACATGCCCAGATACTCATACGAGTACTGTAGCTGCAAGGGTGTTTGCACTCAGCATTCTATGAGTAGCTTGGCCTACCAGTGAGCACCTGAAGACAGCTGAGGAGCTGTCAGTGTGACACTGAACAGCTAAGGGTGGTATGTGGGTGGGAAAGGCTGGATCTGCAGCGACTGCTCATCCTCTCCTGTCTCCCACAGACGTCTTCCTGGGTGAATCTGGTCTTGTGGTGTGTGGTCTTGGTGCTCCAGGTCGTGCAGTGCAAGTCTGAAGCCGCCCCATACCGGCCTCTGGAAAGGGGTGACCCTGAGTGGAGCACTGAGACAGATGCTCTGGTTGGGCCACGCCCTTTCCATTCCTGAAGAGTAACTGAAGAACACCTCCTACAGCCAAAGACGCCGTGCCCAAGTGCCTGCAATCCTCTTGCCCCTTGCGTGGTCCTATTTATATCGGGAGCCTACAGACTGCCCCTCCCCAACCACGTTCTTACAGCTGTTTTTGTACCAAAATATTATATGACTTTCTTCATCTGGTATAAAATTCTTGATGTTAAGCAAGTAGCTGGGAGGGAGGCTTGAAACAGGGACCAGGGAGTTGTCTTTGGATGACTCCTCCCCTTTGTTTGCTGTCAGTGAATCTTGGGCACATTTGCACACACCTGGTGTCACTCCATCTCAAAGATTTCTTTTTATTCCCCTCTGGGAGGGGTGAGTGACCTAAAGTTTCTTTACAAGCTCCGGTAGGCACCCACAGTGTTGTCAAAGAGCTGAGTGTTGGGGAAGTGTCCAGCCTTGTCCAGGAGGAAGTAGAAGCGCCTGCCTTTGACCTTCAGAGGTAACATAGCAGGGACTTCACCCCGGTGGGCCATGCAGGAGACCTGGTTCAAGGGGACAGTGATGTGGGCCCCCCAGCCAAAGGGGGCATGAGTGGTGAGTGTCACCTGCTGCCCTCCAGCCCGAAGCATCACTGAACGCACAGACCGGAGAGAGAAAAGAAGACCGGCAGCAAGCACCAGGGTTCCTGTGGGAACAGCAAAGACTGGGGTGAGCGGTTTTCACTGGAAGGCCGAGCACCAGTCCTTCCGGTGCCTCCTGAATAAAAGCATTGTGATGACGTTCACGGACCTCGGCTTAGTTATTCTGTCAACACCTGAGTAGACGTCCATCCCCGTTTTAGAAGGGAGATGGGTGCAGAGGGTGCTCTAGGGGAGACCTCTGCCTCTCCAGCCCATCCGGGAAGGCTGAGTTCCCTGCTGAGCAAAGAGGGTCGTGCAACGTGGTGGGAAGCCAGACTTACCGATGGCGCCACAGCCGACGGCGAGCCCATACCGCCAGAGGGCGGAACGCAGGTCCCAGCGGCTAGGAGCTGCATCCCGAGGCTGCGCTGGGACTGGGGGTCGGGAAAAGACGGCCACGCTCAGGGAAGCCCAGAAGACGCCCTGGCCCGCACAGAACAGCCCGAGGATAGTGAAGAAGCGGCCCCGTTCATGCTGGAAGAGGAGCACGTCCCGCGGTGGGGTCGCACTGTACAGGGACCGATGCAGGAACACAGGCGGCTGCGCACGGAGAAGCCCAAAGACACACCGCGAGCAGGGCGCCGCCATGGTCTGTGCCGGCCCACTTCCGGGGCGGGACTTCCTGCCGTAAGCCCGCCTCCAGCCCTGGAAATTCACAGCCGTGGGAGCCCCCTCTAGGCAGAAGCCAAACAATCCCGCACGCAGGACACAAAATACAACTGTCACTCTTTATCTTAAAAAGTACGGAGGATCCTGGGGTTAAGTACACAAAGCACCTAAGTCCTTCGGGTAGTTTAGTGTCAGTTCTATAAAGTACGCTTTGGCTTCCTGGCACCAGTGAGGCTCAATCTTCCGGAAGTCTTCCAGAAGGCGGGTGAGGAGAGGGATTCAGCAGCCCTCCCTCCTCGGTCACAGTCACAGGGTGGCCTCCGGCCGGACAGGAGGAAACAAAGACGGATGACAACCGGACAGTATCCAGAGGCTATTTACAGGGGGCTTCTGGGACATGACACCGGATCACTTCATGAATGCCACTTCTGGGATCTCACCTTTGGCCTGGAGAAAAATGAAAGGTCAGCAGAGCCAAGGCCATGCCACCCGTGCCCAGCTTACTTGACCACGTTGAAAGGCCAGAGCGTCCTCTTATTTGCCACTGTATTCCCAAACCTTACCTTGAGATGAGTGAAGGCCTGGGCAGATCTGGTGTAGTCCCAGTTGTTGTCCTGAAGGCACCTGGAGTGGAGGAAGAACAGGTGGCTCCATGAGGACCAAAATGCAGTCACCCTGACCACTACCTACCACTTCAGAATCCCTAGTATGGATTGTAACTATAGATTTTCTATACAGCCAGGACCTCCATCGCGATCCCATATGGATGGCAGGGGCCCAAACACTTGGGCCAATCATCTATCTACTGGTTTCCCAGGCACATTTGGAGGTCAGTTTGCAAGCAGGGCAGCTGGGACTCAAACTGGGATTCCGATATGGGATGCAGGCACCACAAGCTGTGTCACAATGCTGGCCTGAGGGCAGATTTTTATAAACCAATATTTTTTTAAGTAACAAAAAAGTTTTGGCTTTTAAGATTTCTAGAGCAATCCTCAATCATTACCAGCCCTACCTCAGTTTACCCCTATTCCTACACTTGCTCAGCACTCACTTCTGAGACCACTCAAGGTTCATGCCAGACTGAGTAGAGAACGCCTGCAACATTTCCTGCTGCTCCGGGGAGAGGGTGGGCACGGGGCTGGAGGAAGGTGTGGGGGCCGGCATGGCGAAGGCTCTCTGGATCTCTTCAGCGCTCGCGTTCCGCACAAATAGCTCGTCATTTACAATACACAGCCTGGGGGACAAGAAACACCTTCAACAGCAGGTCAAAGAACCTCATCTCCAAACATCACTCCTTTTCTCAGCGACCCTACGAAGTCCCCTTCCCACTGTTAGCTGCTGCCTTTTACCATTTGCATAGTTTGTGCTCTGGGCTTTGTGTTTGGAAGGATGTTCTGCCAAACACATTGAACTCATAGTTTCTCATCTGACCACAGACAGCTGTGAGCCCCTGTGTATTTTATCTGTCTTCACAGTAAACTTAGGAAGTGAATATTATTATAATATTTTCAGATGAAGAAACTGGTCCATGGCCAGTAGTAAACTCAAGATGAAAACCCAGATAGTCCGACTCCAGAGCCAAGCCCTTAACCAGGATGGGAGCCACTTCCTGTGATCTGCCACTGCCTTTCAGATTCTGAAAACATCCTGAGGACTGATTCTACCCTCCAATTACCATGCTGCTGGCCATGAACTGGGATTGGTACCCAACCTGGTAAACCGGGAACTTACCCTGAATTGCTGGCAGGAACGGCAATGAATGTCCGAGTAAAGGCTCGCAAAGAATCCCGGGACTTTCCATCCACTGCAAGGAGAGCGGCAACCACCTTTTAGAGGCACTTGTGCTTTATGTTTAGAAATAGCTTCTCAGCTCTCTGTCTTCTATGTTATAAAGAACCCCGCGTGGGCCACACTGGGATAACTATGTCATGTGCAGGGGAGTGTAGGGGGGGCAAAGGGTCAGAGGTCAGAAAGGATAATAATACTAACAACTACTAACCCACTGACAGAGCACTTGTGTATTGTGCCAGGGGTAAAGTACTTTAAAAGTCACTTCATTTACTTCCTATGGCACCATTAAGACCTGGCTGTTACCAACTCCATCTCAGAATACAAAGGAAGATGCTGATGAAGCTCAGAGATAATAACTTGCACACAGATGCACAGAATCAAGATTGAGATGGAAAACCAGACCTTTCTGACTCCAAAGTCTGTGTCCTCCTAATCTATCCCAGGCTTTTCCTATACTGCAGACAAGATGGGTGGAGAAGGCAGGCCCAAGCACAATGGCTTGGTGGCAGAACGGGAGGAGATCAGGAAAGAAAAGGGGACAGAAGGTAGCTGAGAAACTAAGAGTGCTGAAGAAGATTCTGGATGGAGGAGGGACCATGCTATAACCTCAGGACCCCCCCAAATTCTCACCTTCCTTAAAGACACCGTTGACAGAAAAACACAGCAATGTATTCTGAAAAAGAAGCATTAGGGACACTGGAGGCTTCTTGGTAGGACCTGAGCCCCTTTGCCTCTTAAATGCTTCCCTCCACCCTCACCCCCAATTTAAGGCGTCTATCAGGAAAGAAATAGGCACTTACGGTCTGGGCGCTTATGTCTACTACAAAGGAATTGACGTCATGCTGAGTTTTGGGCAACTCATTGAGGAAGGCAACCACGTTGAGACGTGTGTGCTTCAGCAATCGGAACCGCAGTGCTGGAGGTGGAGGAGGAAGGGAGTTGGGGCTGCCAAACCATCCTAAGTGCTCCGATTCCCTCCCATCCTGTTTTGCTCACATCATACACTTACTAGGGTCTTTAAGCTTCTTCACATTTCTGCTATCCTTGAAGTACTCTGCCAAGCTGCTTCTAGTGGAAAAAGAGGCATTGGTCCGAACACTGGTTGCTAGCAGAGCTGGTCCCTTCCTGCTGGGAAACCCTGAAGGCTTGGGCAGGTTCTGGGACGTGAACTCACCGGCCGGGGTTCTGGGGGATGAAAGGAATGCTCAGGGAACAGCAGGCCCCATCATGATAGGCATCCAGGAGCCCCTGTCGGTCTCCAGAGTCATAAATTGCATAATACCTGTGGGAGGAAAAAAAGAAAAAGGGAAACTCTAAGCTCTGCAGCCACAGAGGGACTTAGCAGCTCCCAAGAATGAACCGGGCTTTGGACAGCCAAACCCCTCTGCAGCCTTGGGGCCCTGGGATACTTACTGCTGCAAGAAGTGCAGGACCAGACTCTTCAGGTTTTCTGTTCCAAAATAGCTTCCCTGGAATCAAACAGATATTAGGACCATGGAACCAGTACCCCCACCCCCACATTCTAGCTATGTCCCCGTTCTCACCTTGCAGGGTGGCAACAGTGTTGGGGCTTCAACATCAAAGGCAATTGGTGGGGGTAACTCATGGCCATCCTATGCAGATAAAGTGAAAGGTGAGTATACACCAGAGGAAAAATGGCTACACGCTTACCTAGATGGAAGAGCTACAAATGACAGGCAAGAAGTGTGAAAGAAGTATGAAAAGTGTCCATGAACCCTGACATATGCAACTTTTGCCTAGCAGCATTTCCTGGGAAGCAGGATTATAGCTTTTGTCAGAGGGAGTGGGAGATATTATACTCTTTAGAAGAAAATGAAAACAGCTGTCAACTTACCAGGCGTAACAACTTGGGGAATCGTTCACGAATGGCGCTGTCAAGAATGGGACAGAAGTGAGTGATGCTTCAGGGCCACCGTGCCTCCTGGGCTGCTATAGGAGCAAATACACCAGGGCCCAAGGGTAGCCCATACCATCCTGCTCATCCCCCCACTCCTCCCCAGCCTGTGCTCAGAGAAAAAATGGCCCACACTCCCCACCTGACCCAGGGCTCCCAGACATGGACTGCCTTGAAGGCTGTCACATTTCTCTCTGCCTAACCCCAAGTGCCACAAGAGTAGCACTCTCAGCCCAGGCTTTAAGCCCAGGCCATCCTTCCCCTCCCTGCCCCCCTTACCTTCCACCTACTCACCTGTGCAGCCCAGGGAGAAGGGAATGGGGTGGGAGCCCAGGGGCTCCGCTGCCTCACCAGGTATCCATCAGTTCTGCCAGGTCTGGCCTTGGCCAAGACCAGAGCACACCACAGGATGGCACAGGATGTTGGGGCAGGGAGATGAGCAAGGCGGGGCTCATGGGGAGGGGAGGTAACAGAAAAAGACAGGAAAAGAAGAGGAAGCAAAAAGGGAGAATGGGATGGGACAAGTGAGAGACAGAGGAGGCAATGGGAAGTAGGGAGGAAAAGGCAAGAGAAAGCCAAGAAAAACAAAAGAGCGACAAAGCAAGGAGGCATTTCCATCAAAGAGGATAGGAGAGGAAGACACCTGGATACAGCCTTTTCCTTTAGCTGCCCTTTCCCTGTGGTCCAAGGCAGAAATGGGGAAGAAATCTTTGCTGTGGTGAGCGGGCAGTTGCTATTGGCCAGGTCTCTATCTGCCACCTGGGTCCCGATCTGAGCTGGGTAGGCGTGGGAAGCAAAGCAGCCACGGGGGCAGGAGACAGCCCTCAGAAGGGGTGAGGGTTCATACCCCTGCAAAGTTGGGGGGGTGAGGGTCTGTGCCCCACCTCTGTTGGCCCCCAAGTTCTCTCCTGATGGCCCCTCTGCGACTGTGCCTGTCTTAGGTTGTTCCTTCCCAGAGGAATCTTACCCGTCTCTGGCTAACCAGCCATCCTCCGGGGCCAAGCAGGGTGACGTGAGGTGTGCGAGTGAGAGCGGGGCAGTGCCCCTGACAGGGTCAGTTCTCTGTCTCCTTGGTAGCCTATGCCCCCGTGGCCTCCACGCCCAGCACCTTCCTTGGGATTCCCACGCCTGCTGGCGAGACCACAGCTCTGGTCACATGTCTTGGGGAACCCAGGTTTCTTCTCCAGGGAGGGCCCAGCTCACAGCACCAGGTAGAGAGATTGCAGGGCACCAGCCCCCATGAGGCCTCAACCTCAGCATGTGCCGGAAAGCC